AAATTATTCTAACGAGGTGTTAAGTTTTCCCCATATGAAGGAACTATGTGTGATTTGTGATGTATTTAGGCATCTCACTAAGGTTTGCCCTTTAATTCCAATTGCTCGACTGTTTTTGAGGATTGTATCAATTGTATTACCTAATTCTTCTCAACCTTACCCTGATTGTTGTTCTGAAACTTTTTATCTCGATTTTAATTGGGGAAATAAACATTATCAGTTACTGATATATGCTACATCACCACAAAACACTCCTTAATATCCACCTTATCATGACCCACAAAAAAAGAATTTGGAAGATATTTTTTGTGAATTTATGCAAAGTCAATGCCCAAATAAGCCAAGATATTGAAGAGATAAAAGACATGCTCAATATATTGATACAAGAACAAGAGGTTGAAAATAGTCAATATAGTGAGAGTGATTTTTATCATAAACTACAAATTGAGGATGAATCCATTAATACTCTTAATAGTGAAGAACTAAGTGACATTATTATTCCATAAGAGGCTAATGAGCCCAAAGCGCTTTTATTATCAACAAGTAGTAATGAGATTCAAATATCTAATTTTTGTAAGGGTATAAAAGTTGAGTTGTGTGTTGTAATTAATAAAGATCTATTTAATATCTCATTGCTAGATTTGCATAAAAATGTATATATCTCTCTTTTCTTGCATGCTCCAATGATATATTCGGTATATGAGTGAATAGTTTGATTAAAGGAGTTGCTTTAACACCACATTTTTAAAGCAGTAAAATTAAATGGTCGCATATTCAAATCTAATTTGAAGCCAGATTGAGTGTGAGTTTTTATTTTTATTTGTACATAGTAGTTACATTTTCTTTTATTTTCTTTTTTGTTTAATTTTAGTTTCCTTTCTATTTGTTTTAATTTATAGTTTTTTTTTGAGTTTTTACTTTCAGGTTTTAGAGTTGTTGTGGTACCATGTATTCCTATTCTTTTGATCTTTATTCATTATTTTTATTGAACATTAAGGTACTTATTTTTACATTGAGGACAATGTTAAATTTAAGTTGGGGGGTGTGAATGTATTTTGTGTTGTAACAATTTCTAGTTTATTTAAATTTTAGTCTAAAAAATATATATATATATATATATAATTTTTTTTAGTTATTAAATATCTAAATAACATATTTATACATATTTTGACACCACAATATAGAAATAATTTGTTTAGCTTTAAATTTGTAACTGTTTAAGCATCACATAAAACTTTATTTTATATTTTTGTATCTCATATCATGTTTTCATAAAAAATCACAATTTGTACACTTTAGACTTTACCAAGTTAAAAATTTGTTAGGTATTTTACCTTAAGAACTTGAAACATATAGTTAAGATGTATAAAAAAGCAGGTGAGTTTTGATCCAATCTTTTTTTAGAGGATTATTTACATATACTCAATAAAAAAATATTTTTATTCAGGCAATCTCTTTCAATAGTCTCATTATTTTTGTTTTTGTCAACATCAGTATTATGAATAATTGCTTGACTTTAAATTATTTGCATAGAAAGTGTGTTATCAAGAACTCTTGAGATATGATTTTATGTCATCTTTGATATTATTTGAGCCTGAGTTTTATTCTTTAAATATTATTATCCCTAGAAGTCGTGATTGAGCCTTTGAAGTAAAATTTTATTTCTTATACCTAACATATAATAACCAAGCCAATGAAAAAAAAATAATATCTTTTACCCTTGGTTATCCCAAGATTAAACTTTTTATTGTTTATATAATTTGAGAGACGTTTGTTGAGAAAAGATGATCAAAAAAAAAAAAGAGAAAAAAAAAAATTGCATACTTATGCATATCTGCATTAGATGTCTTGTTAAAAAAATATATATATACATTTAGTTGTCTTGCTGTAAAAAAACAAAGTTGAAAAAAAAAAAGACAATATGTCTAATTGAGAAAAAGCAAATTGAAAAAAAAAGAAAAAAAAAAAACAAGCATGTGTTTGAAAAGGAAAAAATATGGTGTTGTAAATTGTGTTTCTAAAGGGTGAAGAGTGAAAGGTTATGAAAAAAAGTTTGATTGTGTAATGTACATGTTTTTTCAGGATAGTTTTTTGAATACCTAAATATCCTTTGTTTCAAAATCATAATCTCAAGGCCCCATTACAACCTTAAATAAATACGTATTTGATCTCAAAACTGTATTGATGGATGCATGACTTGTGTGAATAAGAAAGAGAATGGTAATTATTTATTTATTGTGTGTTAATTTTCTTCCATGTGATTATGTCAAATCATTTTCTTCGGGATTACAATTATTTTAATAGACATGTGAGCATTATTTTATTTTGATTTAAATATCTTCTTCTCACATGTGATATTTGAGAGAATAGTCACTATAATCTGAGAGAATCTTTTATGAGTGAATTATCTAGTGAAATTTGACATTGAGACGAATAGTTGATAGATGTAGAGATTATTACCGGATAAATTATTAACTTGGTATAATCACTACACACAAGTTTATGTGGGAACATAATATGTGCATACATTTATATAGCGTAGAATTTTATTTTTTGTTTTGCATGTACTTATAAAAAGACTTGTATCTTAGAATTTTATATGGTAGTAACAATTTGTGTTATAAATTATTATTTAAATATTTGATCATAGGGTGATGTTTGTAGGTATCATCTTTGGAAACCCTCACGAGACTATACTCGTCCACCAGTGGGAACATAGGAGTTTAAAAGTTTGTTGCATATGCTAAATATAATCGTGAGACCTACGAATATGGATTTGTGTTTTATTTTGTTAGGATATTTTGTTTTTAGTTTTTAGATTTTAGGATTTATATATTACTAGGGAGTAGTAATATTCAGGTTGGGGATTGTGATTAACCATAAAAAATGTTTTTTTATTAAATTTAATGATTGGTTAATTACATATTATTTGTGATTAAATGTGTTAAATTCCTTGATTTTCTAGTTTGATACTTTTTCTAGTTGTTTGATTTATTTTACAAGTAAATTAGTTGATTTAAAATAATAATGAATAAGATAAGTGAAATAATAACTAGAGGAAAAATCACAATTGATAAGGATTGAAGAGTCAATATTGAGATAGGAGAATTTGAAAATATATCAACAATTTTAATCCTTATAAGAGTCCAAATTAGAAGAAAATTCATTTAAAGTTGGATTATGAAAGAATCCTATAAGATAAGGATTTGACACGTTTGTAATAGTTTGGTCATAATTTTTGACTCTGATATCTGATTGACTTGATTTTTACGGGGTTGGAAAGAAAACTCCAAGGACTACAAAATTGTATTTCACAAATTTCGTAAATCAGCCTCTAAATATACAAAATCGAACCTTGAAGTCTGAATAGATTTTGTACTCGCGCCCCAAAGATTGTATGTACGGGATTTAACCTTAAAAAACTTCTTTTTGGAAAGAAATTCCTTCCAAGCCCACCTTATACCTTCTACCTATACTTGGGATTTATTTTAGTATAAATAAGAATTCTCATCTAGGATGAGGATGATTAGGATTATTATTTTTTTTCCATTTTTTCTTTTCTAGTTTTTTTGTTTTAGTTCTATGATTTGCTAAAAGCTCAACTAAAAATAGGAGAAATATTTTCAATGAATCAAAGTCCTTATTATTGATTTAATGATCTTTTTAATGCATGATTTATTCTTTTAATTTAATTTTTGTCTTCTAATAAAGTTTTTGTTCTATATAATTTTTTGATTCGTTATACCACATACATCGAATGCTTCAGATTCATTACGAGTTAAATAACTGGTTATTCTATGTTTAAATTAATTAATTAAAATTTCTCGTAAGATAGTTAATTTATTATTTGAAATAAAATAAGATTTACATGTTAGAAAGCTTGATTTATCGTAGACTTCGAGCACAGTAAATGCTTGAAATCTACAAGTAAATTCTTATATTTATTCAAATAATTTATTAATTATAACTTTTGATGTTTTCATATTATCACCGATAAATATTCCAATTGAGATCACTCCTTAGTTGATTCTCAATTGAGTTCGAAAATTTGATCATTAATAATTACTGTGTAGATTTGAAAAGATATCCCCGATGTTTTAGTATTTTTAATTATTATTTTAAAAATCAAATTTATTGTTTTCTAATTTCAAAATCTCTACAACTTTTTTCAAAACAATTTTCTTTTATTTTTCTTTGTGTTCTAAGTTTTTCTCAATTACTTATAGTTTGACCTCGAACTTCTAAGTATTATATTACTTCGCACAACTTACACTTAGATGATCAATTCTAAAGTTGTAGCACCTACCATTAGAAATTTGAGTATGGATTTAAATCTCCATAAAAAAAGAGTCTCACTTAATTTGATATAAGTATAAGTCTAGCATTGAAAAAAAATGTTAGAAGTCTTTTTATCCTAATTTATATTTGGATTTAAAAAAAGATAAGAATCGGAGATACTCTCGTCGTTTCAAGGCCTAAATCAAATTTCTAATTAGTCGATCTCCTAGTGTCAATTCGGGTTTACCAAGAAAAATTGGGGGCACATAAATATGACGATGGCGTGTAAAATAAGTATACGAGATATTTCTTAAAGAAGACTAAATAAGTAGGTTATAAGAAAATGAGAACAAATAATTTGAAAATTAGATGACTTTTTGTTTAAATTAGCCACATTTGTTCTGTTGTTGTGTGGGTTGAACCTCTTTTTCATTTGGAGCTATCAAATTCTTATCGGGAACAATTCTCAGTATTCGGAGAAGTATTACCACTCCCATAGAAAAGGAAAGCCTCTATTTGTATTATGTTATGCATTTAATGCCTTTATTTATGCTTTTAGAAAATAAAAAAGAACTAGCCTACTATATTGAACTACATGCCTAGCATAACATAAATTAGCGAAGAATAATGTCTCGAATCAAATATCCTACGATTTATTCAAAGTAAGGTGGATAGAACAAAGAAAACTTTCATTACACTACCGAAGACTCAAGGTCAGTCAGATGGTCAATCTCTCTCTCTTCTAAGACGGAGGCTTGAAGTCTCAAATGAAATTGTCAAATTGACTATTTTCACCCCGAATATGTGGTCCAAAATAAAGGGCCTTCTTGCCGTTTCTAGGACGGCTGGTGTTTGCCTTAGAATCACCAAGACAAGATAAAAACAAGGGTCTCCCTCCGGCCATTGTCCATAGAAATTAACTCTGCTATCTGTATGCAAAAACCAAAGAACAAAGACCCTTGTAAGATGATTCAACATTTAATGGATTGTTAAACTAGATTACCCCTATCACAACTCTTAGAACAAGGAGGGTCATTTTCTCCAAAGATCTTATCATGGAATTCTCAGTCATACTTTGTCACAGTATGAAGGAGGAGGCATTACAAAAAAGTTAAAACGGGCTGCCTCTAGTCCTCTCCCCTTTGGTTCTTCTATGTACGCAACAGCCAGAAAGAAGGCCCCAATAATGGGAATTTCATCAAGGGAAAGAGATGTGCTCAAGTTGGTGCGGCCGGGTAGGCAATTAGAAATTCACAGAGACTCCATAACTGCTGCAGAAGTCATGAGGAAGTACCCGAGGCACTGCATTACCCGGCCTGATGTGTTTAAGTTTCCATGGATCGTGGTTCGACCTGAGTCAGTTTTGGTTCCAGGTAGAGTTTTCTACATTGTACCTTATCAAACAATCTATCACTTGTTAAAGGCTAGAGGGCAGTGTAACAAACCTTGTTCAAGACAAAACCAATCTCCAAAGAATCATAGCCATCACTGCTTTCCTAAAAGACCACCACCTCTGAATTCACGGCACCCTCACCACCATGAGCAGCGCCTCAGGAAACCGGTTGAGAGAACCCATCAGGAGGCTGTGGCCAGTTCACAGGAAGAAGACTCAGATGATAGTAGTCACTCTAAAAGATTCTACATGAAATCATGGCCTAAGCCGATCATTAAGAAAAGAAACACCCTCCAAGAATTTGATCAAGAATCTGAATTTGATTCATCAGTTGATTGTAGATCATTCAATTCTGAGGACTATTATTCCGATGGAAGAAACATTAGTTCAGCACTGCCTAATATCAGACATGGTTATCTACAGCAGCACAAAAGCAGTACACAAGAAGTTAAATTGAAATCCTGTCTAAGGAAGCAAGACAGTGTTCGTAAGTCGCTGAATCTAAGGGTAACTTTTGGCTTGCCAAGTACAATTGCCAGTAGTCGAAGAGAATCACCAAGTGCGAGCTTGTGATCTTGTTGACAAGCTGTCATACTAGTTGCTTAATGCTTGGTCTCTATATGTGATTGTGGTTGCCTATTTAGAGGATGCCCAGGCAATAAGATAGTGTGACCACAGAAGAATAGAGTTTAGCTTGATGAATGTTTTGCTCATGGAATGCTAGTTAATTTTTAAGATTCTGGATGATGCTATTTCACTGTATTTACAGTTTCAGTGCAGTATCCGAAATTATGGCAGCAGAGTATAATGCATGAACCCACTGGTGATGAGGGAGATTATGGATGTGATGAGAAGGGTTCTACGTCTACCTGGTGCCCAAGACACCGGTCCACACCTATCGTAGAATCTAAACTAGCGGTAAACACTCTTACATTCTTTTGGAAAGATTGATTTCTGGATCAAACCCATGGCATATCTTCTAGATAGATGGACACTATTCATCACTCCAAGTAAGACTGTTAGAATTTTGAAAAGAAACAAGAAGACATGATTCAAGAAGCAAAGTATTACTTATTAAAAACATATTAAAATTAATTAAAAAAATACAGCTAGGATATATAGCTAAATTACAGCATTGAGGGTAAGAAAGCACCTAATAAGAAAAGAGCAGGATACAAGTAATTTGGTCAAGAGAAGCAAAAAGGTAGGATTGAGGAAGAAGAGAAATGGATCAAGGTTTGATGAAAAAGTTGAGCTTGTCATCTGTGTGTTTGCAAGTTTAGTATTTTGAAATGTAACAACCAACCAACCTAGTCATTGAGTGAGTATACTAATTTGACATGCAACCAGCCAAGCAAAACCGTCACAAGTTACTCTGAAAGCAAGTGGGAAGACAGAGATACATAGAGTTATTTACCAATATACGGTAATTTTGAAATAATATTACCAATTTACGACGCTTTTGAATATATTTATCAAACTACAACACTTTTTAAAAAACAACCTCCTTTTGGGGTTGTTGAATCCACCTTCTAATAAAAGCAGGGTCAACAACTTTACTTTTTAAAAAGTACTGTAGTTTCAAAAGTGCCGTAAATTGGTAATATTGTTTCAAAATTGTCGTAAATTAATAAATAAATACACTGGGGAAGTATGTATCGTACAACATATTTTCAGCTTTTTCTAGACAGCATATTCACATCTTTTTCTCTTTCTCCACACATCAGTGTTACAGTATGAAATTATAAGGCTACAACACAAATAAACCTGATTTTCAGCCTCCTTAATAGTTTATTTTCAACAAATCCTATCAAATTCTCTCTAACGAAAACAAATGGTCCAACAAAAAAAAAGCTGTATAAAATAATATATATGCCTGAAAAAAAAAGAAATCCTCACAAAATGCACAAAAAACCTTTAATATAACAGACTGAAAAAGGAGGCATAAACCCCTTGAATGGTATGTGCAAAGTTTTTGCCCGGAAATCAAGGTTCAAAATAGACATTTTGGTTAATTTGAACGTGATTGCGTCCATTCTAAATTTAGGTCATGACCATAAATCCAAAAGAACCAAGATTAGAAAAATTATCACTTCTATGAAAAAGAAAAAAAACTAATGTCACAATTCATATTGTATAATCATAGGGATACAGGATACTCCAGGGTTGAACCTGAGGCAAGTTCCATATGACCAGCCAGCCAAATAAGTTCTTCCTGCTCTAGCATCTCACAACAAATCAAAACTAGATACAGAGACAATCTTACCTTGGATTTGGGTACAGAACAGAGACAAAAATAGAGGAAAATGAGTCACATTCACCACTCGTTACCCACTAGGCATACTCATATAGCATTACGTTGATTCCCACAGGTACAGACTAAAAATGGGATAGAATCAAAAACAAAAAGCACAAAGGCAGGAAACCAAGGAGTTCATTATACACCCTGCATGTGACAATGATGAAAAGATGAAAACCCTAAAGCTACATTTTCTACCCTTTCTACTCCAAGTTAATCAGTATGTAGTTCATCAGCTCTCTTGCGCGTTGCACATTATAAAATTACACTTCGTTCATAGCTCTTCTTGCTTCTTTTTACATTGATTAAGAAATCATGATACAAGGAATAAACCCACTAACCTTAGCCTCTAGGCATTGAAATTCGCAACAAGAGACCAACAAAGAAGTTGCTGACAACAGAAACCTGCAACGACATCTATCCTGCTTAAGGATTCACTCTCACCCAGTCATAACGTCCTGTAATAGGCAAATCATTCAAGACATCAAAGTTGTACCTGCAGAAACACCCAAGAAGAAGGTTTCATTAGCTAAATGGAATCCATAGTTGAAGTAAACTGCATTTGTCAGTTATAAGCAGCCATTATAGAAACAGCAACGCTATACCTCTCTATAAACTTTTTTTGTAGCTGCCGCTCTGCCCGGGTGAAGAATTCCTCTATTTCATTTGATGTAGGAATCAGTCTTTGCCTGGCACTTCTAATTCTTTGATTATCCATAGTTGAACTAGTCAGTCTCGTATTAGAACCGGGGGTCGCAATGGTGTTTGAATCCCTTATCAAGCTACAAGGTGTGCTTTCCCTAGTGCTTCTATTGAAAATTTAAAACACGTATCAATATTATGCAATTTTATATGTTTAATTTTCAGCACCAAACAGAAAAAAATAAAAATTACACCCTAAATACAATTTATGCACCATACATGGCATCAAGTGCACTTAGATGGCCTTAACTAAAGAGATTAAACAAGAGAAGTTATGTAACAGCATATACATGTCCCTCACAAGTCAAGTCTNAAAGAAAGAAATACAAGAACCCAAGAAAGAAACATAGAGATAGAAGCAAGTATACCTATCTTTTGGTTCAAACTCCAAATTGTTCTCTCCACAAGAAACCTCAACACCCAAATCGTAGCTATCTGGTTCGTAATCTTTGCGAGCCCTATCAGTAGTTCCGCCCAAATCTTTCTGGCAACAGATAATTGAGACTGATCCAACAGAACCCGCGTTCCCAGAACTCATCCTCAACCTCGAACTCGCCCTAGAATCAAAGTTTGCATGTAGATTTTTTTCGGGGTTTCCTCTGCAACTCCCTTTTGGGGTTGATTTTTGTTGTTCTTGAAGTTGCCTTCTGGTGTCGGTGAGCAATGGACACTTTTCGAGCCTTCTAGAGCGAAGCCGAAGATAACATGATTCTGGGTTTAGGGGGATAGGTGTTGGGGATTTGGTTGTTGATTGGAGCCTTTGAAGGGCTAGGGTTTTGGCTCTGGTTCGGACGCCCAGGGACGCCTGAGAGACCTCCATGACGGCAACGCCTCCTGTGATTTTATCATTTCTCATGCACTTACCCATGTCTCTGCTTCTGCGACACTCTGTTCCTGAAACAACCAATGTTAGAGTTGCATGGAGTTGGAAACGGGGTGTGTGCGAGACAGAAAGAGAAGAAGAAGGAGAAGAAGAGGAGGCCCGTGAGGGAACTCAATTTGAAAATGAGGGGTAAAGTTGGTAGGGTCAGGTGAATTAAATAGTACTTGTAATTTCTCCTTACTGGGTTTGCCTAAGGTATTGGATACGAATCAGCCACATGGGCCTGTGGTGATGGGCCTCACGCCTTAATCGATCCACTAAACTAAAAATAAAATAAAGAGTTAATTGCATTAGAAGTCCCAAAGTATGAAGTTTGTCTCATTTTGTTATTTAATATTTCAATTGCATCATTTTAGTCCCTGAAGTGTTGAATATGTTTCTATTTGTTCCCTCCGACAAACAATATCTAAATTGCTAATGATTTTTAATTATAAATTTGTCACGTGATGCTTAAATATAGACAAAAAATATTTTGGATAATTCTTGATTAAAATTTAGGTAACTCTTGACAAGAAATGTGTAAAATGGACAGTTCTTGACTAAAATTTAGATAGGTCATAATTAAAATTGTATAAGTTTGGTAGCTTTTTGACCAAAATTTAGATAAAAATTTGGTTAAGAAATATTTAAATTATTTTTGTACTCATATATTAGGTATTACGTGACAAGTTTATTAATTAAAAATAGTTAGTAATCTAGACAATGTCTATTTGAAGGATAACATAAAAATATATTTAATATTTTAGAAACTAAAATGATATAATTAAAATATTGAAGACTAAAATGAGATAAACTCTATACTTTTGAGACTTGTACAATTAACCCTAAATAAATTGTTCCAAAATTTTAAAAAAAAAATCATATTTAAAGAATCTACAGGGGTACAAAAATACACGATTCTCTTGGTATTATTGAGAAGAACATGAGGGATCCAAATCAAAATGTGATTAAATTTATAATTACCCAATTTTTCACGAAGTTTTGTACTAGTTTATGTAATTAGACCACGCTCTTTATGTGTTAGGTGTTAAAATTTTCAACTAGCAGATTTTATTGGCGTTCTTTTATACTTGTAAAAAATACACAAGAAAGAAAAAAAGCAATATATAAAAAATTATCCAATCATCACCACCTTTACCCCCTCCTCTACGTACCACAATATCCACCAAACTCGACACTCATCACATAACTCACGCACACATACATATAAAGAGAGATCAATTAGCGAGACGAGGAGGAGGATGTTTTTTGTGGTGGACAAGTGTTAAGGTACTAGTTTCTCTCCCAAACTCGACACCCATCACATAATTCGCACATATGTACATATAAAGAGAGATCGATTAGTATGGTGAGGAGGAGGATGGTTTTTTGTGGTGGCCAACTGTTAAATTACTTAGTTTAGGTAATTTATATTTTCTCATTCTTGTTTTTTTTTTTGATCAACAAGAACTACAAAACTCACACTTAAAAGTGCAAGTTCTATAACTTCTATATAAGCGAGCGCGCACACACACACACAGAATTATCTGATGTGAGATAGCCATATCCCCTGACCCACTTTAGGCCCAAGGGCCCCATCGATCGAGCAACCCTAGAGGGAGGAAGATGAGCCCAACAGTCGAATGCTGTGAAATCGCACGCCCACACCCACAGTTTTGATTTTTTTTTT